CCCCGGATGTTGATCCTTTTAAGACAGCACTGGACTAAGACGTCGAGTCTGTGGTTAAACATAAGCACCCAGTTTGCCATTTTCTCTCCGAGACCATCATCCTGAAGTCATCGCTATAACCCAAATTGTATCTGTGGTCCTTCATCACACGCATGAATTCCTTCAAGACCCAAGGCTTGACGAGGGCTTCTGATGGTTCGTAAAGTCCTGCTGAGAATCTTGGTGCTGTACATGTGAACACAGGGAAAACCGTAGCAATTTGAGGAGAAAGAAATGTGGGTGGTACAGAACCTTCAAACATCTAGTAAAACGGCCAAATATTTCTTGGCTGGTTAAACCCTTCAACGCCTGTGAACTGGAAGGGGCCAGGGCAAGGGTCTGGGGTCGGTAATAAGATAGCAGGACTCAACCAATTCCTTTGGTCCCTCATTTTTATTATTTCTCAAGGAGACTATGAAATACGATGTGATCTTCACTAAACAGTGAGGCTGTCTTAAATACAAAACATTTAAAAATATTTTTGCAGGGGGGGTGGCTCAGTCAGTTGAGTATCTGACTCTTGATTTTGGCTCAGGTCAGGTCACGATCTCACCGGTTTGTGAGTTCGAGCCCCACGTCGGGCTCTGCGCTGACAGCACGGAGCCTGCCTGGGATTCTGCCTCTCAAAATAAATAAACTTCAAAAGTTTTTTTGATGGTTATTATGGTTCCTTAAAAAAAAAAAAAAAAAGAAAGAAAGAAAAAGAACCAAAATTCAAGTATTTCTTCAGAAAGGTTGCATGACATTTCTCCCACCAGACCCGGTTTTGTCCCTTGAATCTCCATGGCATGGCGGATGGGTCCAGAAACCCAGCACTGACTCCCAGTATAGTGTCAGCCACACACCCAGCCTTTTAACCCCAAGAGCGTGACTCACCGTAGCAGCGGTTTCCCGCTCCTCTTGGCCCCAGGTCGCAGCCCTATCGGCCAGCTGGGGACGCGCCTGAGCCTTAGAGACCTAGCAGCTGGATTTGTGCCTTGTTGTTGCAATTCAGAATTTTGACCCATTCCCGAGCCGTGGTTTCCAGTTGTCAGAAAATGAGCCTCCTGCTTAAGAAGTTTAAAATAAATCTGCTGTTTTCAACATAACTTGAGTGACCCCTGATGTACAAAGGACAGGAAGGTAAGCAGCTGCCCCACATTTCCATCAGGAGGAAGCCACAGACCAAAGAGATCACTTGTGTCACAGAATCCCTATTGGTTGGGTGGAGGGTGGGTAAAAGACCGAATGCTGTCCCCTCCCCCCATCAGGTCACGTAGAGAGGAGCAGCACTGTGTACGCGATGACCCACGCCAAAGAGGACTTCACCTTCACGTCTCAAGATGTGAAACAAGGCTGGCCTGTTGCCGTGGGACGTTTCTGCGGAAAATTCAAAGCGACTGTGCTAATCCTCTATGTGAAATGTGTACTTGAAAGCCTACAAGGACAGCGGAATTGCAAAGTAGTGTTATTTGAGAGGATTTGAGGATTGTAAGTTAACGTCTGAAAAGCAAAAGCTCTCGCTCCTCTAACTTGATGGAAGACGGTCTGCAAGTTGACTGCTTCCCGAGCCACGTGATCCCTGTCACTTCGGCCTTTCTGGTAGGACAGGGAACCCATCGCTTACCACCAGGGATGGGGACCCTGATTCAAATCGAGGGAAAGGCCAAGCACCTGAAAAGTCACTGACTGCCTCAGAACACATTTGAGTCACCCCAAATCCACAGTCCACCCTCTCCAGCTTCCTGGCCTAGAGTCGGCACACGCGAGCGAATCCACACAGGCCGAGGAAGGGTCTGGAGAAAGATGGCAAAGCTAGAAGGATTTCTGGTCTCTAGCAGGCGGGATTCAACTCCGTGTCTCTGAAAACGGCTCCCTGTTAACCAGTCTCATCAAGTGCACGCCCCCTCGGCGGCCCCGGCCGACTACCACCATCATCGACTATTTGATTCTGAAACCCGCCGATGGCTTCTTGTAAGTTGCACAGCTGAGTGCCAGGCAGCGAGCCGCTCCCTGCCGGCAGACAAGGGCTGGGAAGGTTCGCACAAACTAAGGTAATGGAGCCTAGGCAAAACCCAGGGTGACAGCAGACGGGGACAGGGGTGACATCGCAGGGATTCAAGGAAAACCAACAAGATAGGGAGCACCAAGAGTTTACTCAGAAGCCGTTACACTTTAATAACAAGCAACCACACAGAAGCACTGTATTTTCCCTCTGTTACATTAGCAATACATGGAAAAGCAACTTAAAAAATGGGTCTCCTTCACAACTACTCTTTCCCACGCCCACCAACATCCGTCAGAATTGCTTGCGGAGGTTTTAACAAGTATTTAAGTCTGGGCCTCACTCCTCGAGGAGACTGCGCCGGGCAGGGGCGGGATCCAGGCATTTTTTAAAAAGCTCTTTAGGGAGTCTGGAGGATTCCTTCTGCTTGAGTCTCTGATTTTTAGGTCGACTGGGGCACTCTGGACTTTTTGGGCCACTGTTTGGGGGCGTGGGGGGCTTTTTTCGCAGACTTACTGGGAGTAGTGAAGAACTTGGCCCCTGGCTTTTTGGTCACCTGTCTTGGGTCTTTTTTGCCCAGTGAAGAGTCTGGTTCTTTTCCCGCCTCTTCTTTGATTCTTGGCTTCTTGCCCGGGCTGCTACCTGGGGTCTTGGGCTCCGCAGCCGTCGGGGTCTCGAAACTGGGAAGGGCCTTTCTCTTCTTCCCACGAGGTGCGCTGGGATTGGGACTCTTCTTTGGAGACTTCTTTCCTGCGGCTTGTTTTTGCATCTAAGAAAAATAAGAGTTAAGTGCAGGGAAAAACGGCCCCTGACAATGGAACTCCGAGAGTGACTGTCTTCACCAGGTCTGAAAGGTTTTACAGGCAGGACCCAGCACCCAAGCTTGCCCTTGCCCTGGTACATTTCCAAAAATTAATCATGTGGTGATCTGGGACTCACTGTCAGAAACTGAACCAGTGCCCAAATGTCTGCCCCGGCCTGCTTTTGAAAACCACAGGCGATGCGTCCCAGAATTATTATCATGACCACCCCTCCCCTGAATCTGAGATACACAGACGAATGTGTTCACTGCACATCACTCCAATACAGGGCAAAGGAAGCCCCTCCCAGGCTTCTGGGTCTACCTGGTAAGTTTCATCTATGACCTCGGGATCTTTGCTACGACAGATTCTGCTGGAAATACACTAGGGACAAACAACGCCCCCGTCCTTGCAATGCCTCTTACACGCATGGCTCAGCGGGGCCTGCCTGACACACGGGGGCACTGAAGCCATCGGCCACTAGCACCAATAGAAATACCTCTCCGTTTTCTTTCGCTGGAGTCCTCTCTATTGGTACCAGTTGAGGAAGCTCCTCTTCGGATTCGTCCTGCACTTTATTCTGGGCTTTTACCCGAGTGCTCTCTTTCTTCCCACACGCTCGGGCCTCCTTCGGGGGTGCAGGGCCCTTCACCGGAGCACCGCCAGTCCCAGGGCCCGCCTCCTCTTTCTTCGGGGCCGACGAGGCCTTTCTGGCCTGCTTCGTAAGCCTTTTGCTTCTTTTCTTCTCCTTTTGTTTTTCACGATACTCTTTCTGTTTTTCTTTTTTCTTTAATTCCTACCAAAACACCAAACAAAAAACCCAGTAACAAAAAAGCCACACCAAACTCCAAGCCTAACTTTAGCAGGGAATACACTTGTTGGTCAATAAATGTCATAGACTTAGAACTTGCAATTCTCATTATTCATAAGCTTCTGGAAAGTGCCTTGATCTGTGGCAACTCTAAGCAAACAAACCACAACACCAGCACTGGAACCTCAACTGCACTTGGCTCTGACTCACAGAACTACATATGGGGACTTGGAAGCAATGAGGTGTACAGTCAGAGCTTCTGCAAGGTGCTCTGATTTATAGGTGAGTTAAGAGTTATCCTAGGGATGCCTGGGTGGCTCAGTCGGTTGAGTGTCCAACTGTTGAATTCGGCTCAGGTTGTGATCCTAGGGTTGTGGGATCAAGCCCTACATTGGGCTCTGTGCTTTGTGCGGACTGTGCTTAAGGTTCGTTCTCCCTCTCCATCCCTCCCTCCCTCCCTCTCCCGCTCTCTCTCTCTCTCTCTCTTCCCCTCTCTCTGTCCCTCCCTGGCCTGTGAGCGGGCGCGCGCACGCACGCACACACACACACACACACACTCTTTCTCTCTCTCTCAAAAAAAAAAAAAAAAAAAAAAACCAAAAGGAAAAAAAAAATTATCCTAAATTATAGAGTATTCTGATGTGAATTACATCTCAAAACAGTTTTAAGAAAAAAAACTGATAATTTTTCCCTACTTCAGACTGGGGCAGCAGTTAGATTAAGAAGTTTATAGAACCAGAGGTCCACTGTCCTTACCACAGACCACTGTTAAATGACCCCCATAATAGTGTGTAAATTCCATGTTAGCCAACAATTCCAACATTTTTGCAAACTCCTCAAATCAATGTGCTGACAGATGGCAAAAAAATTCAAGTGTCCTGCTTCTGATAATGGCAGTCTTTTATTTTGGGTCATTCTCCCAATGAAAACAAGTAAAAGTGGGATGAAATACTTAAAATTTTTTTT